GAATACCTTGAACAAAGGCGACATCGTTTGTGAATGATAATCCAGCACAACTAGGGTCCAGAAAGACCAGCTTGTAGGAGTCTTCAGAGATTTTGAATGGTGCTGCATTGAGGAGCAGCTTCACGCTTCCTCCACCAATCGCATGGGTGTCAGCTACAACAGACGCCCTAAACAGGGCACTTTCTAATGGGTTATCATCAAGCCCAAAGCTACTGTCAGAACTCGATAATCCCTCTTCAATTGTGACTACCAAAGTAGCTATGATGAGTTAACGTTAGTTCAACAACAAAAAAATCAGGTGGAGAGTTAAGCGAGAAGCTCACTTAACAATATACAGTAACAGGAGCTCCCTCAAGTAGATGGTTTCCAAGGATGCAACCGCACCAACTTCCAATCTCTTGAACACTGCTCTTGCAAATATAAAGAATACAATAAAACAGTAAAACTTAATATTATTAAGCTCTGGCTTATCTCAACTAAAGTCTCTCCAGAGGATGTTGATTGTCTTGGGGTAGGAGTGTTCTCGTATAATCTTTAAGTAGTTAAACTTATATGAAAAGCTCACCCATCAGGTTATTTTAACTAACACGAGTATTTCCTTCTCCGTAAGGGTTGCCCAGCACCATTACCGTGACCCCGAAGGGCCTAAGGTGTCAGCACACTCTAGCATATATTTCCCATATGCACATCAGTTCTTGGGAGGTATTTACCAATACACCTGCTAGAGAGAAAACTTTTGCACATCAGTGTCTCGTCAGTGGCTAACTGGCAAGTCACCTAGGAAATCTAACTAAATGACTCTCTTTCCCATGTGCCATGACCTATGCAAGCACCCATAGACATTAGCTGTCTTCCAGTTAAGTTCTATCTCTCCTGATTGCGAACTTAAAAGGTCTACGATACTCCGGCAGAGATCTGTGGTGGTGGCGGGACCCATGGGCACTATCCATAGTGCCTTACCCCCGACACACCACTAACTGTGATAAGTATCATGCTATTAGGGTCCTCAAATAACCCACAAGGAGCCTACGGCAAAGGGGCATGTGTAGGCATAATTGGTGTAAAACCTTGCCAGATATCTTTGGCACTACCCAGGACTACTCTGAGGACCCTTCTGGATAGCTCATGCTAACTCCGTCAGTTTTGATATATTTTACTCCATTCTCTTTAGAGAAGGTACCTGAGCTTCTTACCTTGACCCCCTTATGTATCCTGCAAACAGCTTCCAGTTGAACAGATGGCAGCAATATATACAGTGTTATGAATATGTCTTCATAGACTCCATTTAACTAGTAAGACAGAAAGTCCACCCATTTTGGCCCATGATGCCCGGGGTGAACCCTGGGGCTGCAGGTCCATCTTAGGAATTATTCTGCCAAGATACACTGGCAGCATGTTGGGAGCACTATAGCTCCTTCCATAACCTTCCAATTGTAACGGAGGCTCCCTCAGGTAGATGGATCCTAAGGATGCGACCGCACCAAACTTCAAATCTCTCGAACACAGTTCTTGCAAAAGTGTAAAGAATAAAAGTAAACGGTAAGACTTAATATCGTTAAGCTCAGGCTTATCTCAATTAAAGTCTCTCGAGAGGATGTTGACTTCGTCAGGGTAGGAGAGTTCTCATATAACCTTTAAGTAGTCAGACTTTTACCAAAAACTCCCCCATCAGGTTACCCCGACCATCATGAGTATGCCCTTCTCCGTATGGGTTGCCCCGGCACCATTTCCGTGTCCCTGAAGTGCTAAGGTGTCAGCGCACTCTAGCAGAATTCTCCTATATGCACATCAGTTCCTGTAAGGTGTTTACCAATACACCTGCCGGAGTGAAAACCTCTGCGCATCGGGGTCTCGCCAGTGGCTAACTGTTGAGACCCTTAGAAAAGCTAACTAAATGACTCTCTTCCCATGTGCTATGACCTATGCAAGTACTCGTAGACATTACCTGTCTTCCGGCTAAGTTCTAACTATCTTGATTGCGAACTTAGGGGGTCTATGACACTCCCGCGGAGAGCTGTGTCGGCGGCGGGACCCATAGGCGCTACCCATGGTCCCTTACCCCCAGCACACCACTCACCATGATAAGTATCATGCTATTAGAATCCTCAAACAACCCACAAAGAGCCTACGGGAAAGGGGCATGTGTAGGCTTGATTGGCGTAAAACCTTCCCAGATGTCTCCGGTACTACCCGGGACTACTCTGGGGACCCTTCCAGATAGTTCACGCTAACTCTGTCAGTTTTGGTCCGTTTTACTCCGTTCCTTTTGGAGAAGGTACCCGACCTTCTCACCTTCACCCCCTTATATATCCTGCGAACAGCTTCCGGTCGGACGGACAGCAGCGACGTATACAGTGTTATGGACATGTCTTCATAAACTCCATTTAACTAGTAAGACGGCAACTCCACCCATTTTGGCCCATGACACCTGGGGCAAACCCTGGGGCCACAGGTACCTGTTAGAAATAATTCTACCAAGTTACAGCTTGTTCGGAGCACTATAGCTCCTTCCGTAGTCTTCTGATCAAGACGCAAACAAGTGTCCATCGATCGTTATTGCGTAATAAACAATTCTAACATTTCCCGAAATTCTTCCGAGGACGTTTCCGGCAGAAGGTAGGGTAATAGTGTCCTAAAGATAGGGTAAGTATGTCCATGGTGACACGAAACTGGTCTCCATGGTAGGGTAACGTGTCTCCCTTAGGCAGGGTAAACTCACCCAGCCTTCTGTCCTATCCTTAGGCCAGAGCGGACATTGTCACGTTACTACCACTACTTAGGTACACCATTTCCTTAAGTACCTTCTGTTCTTAGAGATATCTTGACCATCAGATATCCCTCGGATATGCGCCTGCATACCCGCCTCGTCTACCATCTGACCTCTTGATCTTATGTATGGGCATAGACGTAGGGTGCCATAGCTCTATAACGTAGGGTCGTTACACAGATCATTGTGCAAGTAAGTGCCCATCGATCATCATAGCATAACAAACAATCCTAGCGTTCCCTGAAATTCCTCCGAGAACATTTCTAACAGAAGGTAGCGTAATATTGTCCCAAAGGTAGGGTAAGTATTGCCATAGTGACATGAAACCAGTCTTCATGGTAGGATGATGTGACTCTCCTAGACAGGATAAACTCACCTGACCTTCCAACCTATTCTTAGGTCAGAGTGGACCTAGTCACATTACTCCTGCTACTTGGGTACACCTATTTCTTAAGTACCTTCGGTTCTTCAGAATATCCTGACCATCGGATATCCCTTGGACATGTACCAGCATGCCCACCTAGTCTACCATCTAACCTCTTGGTCTTATGTATAGACGTAGACTTAAGTTGCCATAGTTCTATAAGGTAGGGTCATTACATACCTCCACCTCTTCTCTTACCCTCTCTTGGCTAGGTTTGCTTAGTTCTAGCCCACTTGGCCTGAGGTAGGGGGGGGTTTGGTCAGCCATCTAGTGGTCAGCTTGGTTATCAGTCGATTGGTAATGTGCCTCCATGCTCATAGTAGTAGGCCTCCATACTAATAAAACCTCTTGTGTGATCCAGGCTATGCAGTTAGGTACCACTTTGAGCCTCCTCACCTTTCAAGCCTTTATTCTCCTCCTATAGGTCCACTGGTACCATACTGCCTGGGTACTCAGTTGCCCTCCCCACAACAATAGGGCAACTCTTCTATCTGCTTCCTCCCAGTCACCTTAGAGTGGCTTCACTTCACGCTTCTGGTCCTGCTTGTCTGCCAGCCCTACCTCCTAGTTAATATTCTCACTGTTAGACTAACCTCAGGCTCCCTTCTGTCCAGCAACATCACTTGCCTCCTCCTTTGGCTCTGACTCTTTTTGTCATCCTTCTCTGGGCCTGGCATGCTCAGCAGAATCTGCTAGGTATGCAGCCCTACTACACGGTACTTTTAGTAGTGCCTCCTTCTCTACATGCTGGCAGGTATGACCTTTATTTGATTTTTTCCTATGGTGGAGCTGTTTGGTTTTTTACCTTTTTGGAGCTGTTTGGCTTTCTTACTTTACTTAGTTAGTTATCAGAAGCAATGCGAGGGGCTATCTTAGCCTACACTGAGTGACCAGGTCTTCGGGCCCAGTACCAGGGAATTTCAGTGGAGAATTCAGGGCCATGGGGGCATAGAAGCATTATGTGGAAATGTTTCTTTATTGTTTATGTGTTTGGGATTAAGGTTTTTTGTATGCCATACAGAGAGGTCCATGCACTGTTTTGTACTATAAACAATAACTGCATAATTTAAAATAAAATAAAAAAATAACAAATAAAAAAAGCAAGAATGTCCTATATTATCATTTTCTGATTAAGGTATCTATTAGCTTCTGATTGGTTGCTGTCCAGAGGATGCACTAATCCACTCCTAAGGGCACTAATGCAGGTCCAGTTGTGTTTACAAATACCAGAACATGACAAGTACTTGGTATCCACCCTACTAGCACTTTCCATTTATTGATTACATATTTCATGGATTATTACTAGATCCCCTATTACATGTTTCCCTATATTGCCCCTTGTTTTTGTTAGATTTCAACACTTTTCTCTTATCCTATTTTCTCACATCACTTCTGACATACTTGTTTTCCCTATCATTATCCCGCAACGCGTTCCTGTTTACTAGAGCTCGGGTTAAGGTCCGCTTAAACTCACCCGGAATTGAGTTTTAGTTTAGGTATCCTAATTTCCAAATCTCGAAATTTCTTCCTGCGATCCTTTCGAGCGTACCCTCTACCGGCCCAAGTGATGGCGTGAACTCTCTCATACACTTGACAAGTTGTTCTTTTTTTCTCAATGCACCGCTCTCTAGCATTTCCTTTCTCCTTCGCATCGTATACCGCTGCTCTCGCCCAACTACCAGGAGACAACAAAAGGTGATGATCTTGATCAGGTAGCGAAGAATAGATATATGAAGGAATATAGTAGAAAGATGATCGAAGAAAAAGAGACAAGATGAATCCGTCATTTCAAAAAAAAAAAAAAAAAGTCAGAGCCTAACAGTGGCTACTCGAATCCATTCACACCAAACACTTCATCCTCTCATTAACACAGAATTTGCGCCTTCTCCGTCTAGCCGCCTCGCAGAATGCGGCTCATCCCATGGTTCCCGAGATTGCTGAAAATGATAGCTTCATCAACATCCTCCCTACAACATCCCCGCACCCGTCATACACCACTACACACGCTAAGAAAAAAGCAAGAAAAAGTGAAGCAGAAAGTGAAAACAGAAGTACAGAAACAAAATCAAACCAAAAATACAGATACCTACAACATTTGAGAACCCTGAGTGAAAGAAACCCCTTTGAAAATATACCGAGAACCCACCACCCCCAAAACTAACAGACCCGTTAAGAGTGGTTTCAGTTTTGGTCCGTTCAACCTTTGCAATGGTGACAACTCTTCAGGGCATACAGTATAATCCATCTCCAACTTCCGCAACCGTCCATACACCAATACCCACGCCCGAGTTTATAGGGGATTAGGTTGATGGTGATATGGCTCGTAGCTGCAACCATTGTCTCTCACGTTAGCAGTTTTACCAGGAAAAATTTTCATGCCACCCCTCGAAGCAGTATGAATCCAGTTCGTGGGGGCATTCTCATACCCCCAGTTATGTGGGGTAAAATAAACGGAAAGAGAAGTTTGGAATGAATAAAATAAGAACAGGCAAAGCCCAGACCGAAAAGAAAAAAAAACGCTGCAAAATAGTTTGTAAGGGGAAGAAATAAACTAACCTCCAGATCCGCGCCCGCATATCACCACTACCAGTTGCAAAAAGACCACCCGAGGGACTTGGAGCGACAGAGATTACTGTTCCATCGACAAATGGAAACGTGATCAGCCACAAACCCCACGAAAATAAAATATCATAGAAAGGAAATCAGCCCTAACCGCCCCTCCTGTCCCGTGCTCCGGGATAGCATTTCAGAGGGGGCCTGCCAGAGTAATGTTGAAAACCCAGGACATATCATACCTGAATTTTTGTGACCTTGTAGCATGAGCTGTGCACTCGCAGTCCGAGGATCCCAGAACTGCACACCACGATCCTTTGACCCGCTCAACACCCAATTTCCATCAGGTGTCAGGGCGACGCTAAGAACAAAGTCCTATGTAATGCCAGGTCAGCTCATAACTCCGGGTCGGGCATTCTTCCAATCACGCGGCCACCCCTAAATCGGGGGGAAGCGCCTGCCAATACAGTCCCGAGACTAACCTTATGTCCTTCAAAGGTCTTTACGCATTTGCCACGGCTAGTGCCTCCACCCGGCATAAGGCCTCTCGCCGCCGACAACTCCCACATCTTGATCGTCTTATCAAGAGAGCCAGACACCAGATCTCTTCCGTTGGGAGCGAAGGCAACACTATACACACTGTCCTTGTGACCTTCGGCACCTTCGAGCCTCTCAACCAGGAAGCCGGTGTGCGCATCCCAGACCCTAACGCTTTTATCGAGTGAACCTGCTGCAACGTACCGACCATCAGGAGAGATAGCGACAGTAGTTACTCCATCTTCAATGCTAAGAGTGAGAACATTTTGACCAGTTTCAATATCCCACACCCGGACGGTGCGATCACCACTACCTGAAGCAATATGCCTTCCGTTACGGGCAAAGTCCAAGGAGTAAATATCCTGTTCGTGGCCCTGGAAAGTCTGCTTAATCGTACGACTCTGGATATCCCACACCTATAATTTCGCGAAGAAACGGTTAATGCAACATATTCCTCACATCTCACCAGGTTGATCAAAAGTGGAAGCTCAAACTCACTCTAATTTGTTTATCCTCGGCCCCCGTAGCGAGGTATCGTCCGTCGGGACTAAAGCAGACACTCCGAATATACAGGTCACCATCTCTATCGACCGTTTCATCTTGCAAGCGGGAGACTATGCCTCCGGTTTTAACATCAAAAATTTGAGCGCTTCGGTTACAACCAGTGGCCACATATTTCCCGTCCTGACTAAACCTTACACAACACACCACGCTATTATGCTCAAGCGTATGGACCAGATCAACATCCAAAAGCCGAGGAACCTTGGGATTGAAAATCGCAAACCAATCAGGCCCTTCCTTCTTCTGGTTAGCTGGAACTCTGTCGTATTCAAGATCGCCAAGGCAGCTGGCTGGCGATCGGGGGCGGGCAACTTGTGGAGAGCCACGAGGGTCTGGATTATAATTTGGCGGCTGGCTCTGCTGCGGAGTGGCCGGCCCACCCGGTCCACCAGGGCGTCTGCCCTTACTAGGCCCAGGAGAAGCTGTCGGTTGCGGTGCCGGATTCCCGTAACTACCTACAAGTCCCGCAGCAAAAGTCAGTACGGCAATCAAACCGTTATAAGAGACCATTTTGGTTAAGGGAGGGGATAATTGGGGGGATTCAAGCGAATAATTGAGGCAGAACGTTAGGTAATGAGGACGCGGAGCAGCCCTTACCATTCACAAACGAACTTGAGGGGTATACAGGTTGCTGTTGCTGTTGCTGCTGTAGCTGCTGAGGTGGCTGGCTTGGTGGAACTTGTTGGGGAAGGGAGGTAGGGGGTGGGGGGATAGAATGATGAGGTCCCTGCGGGTGGGATTCTTGTAGCGGTGGTGGTACGAGCCCCGGGCCGCCCTGTCCGTTATTTCCCGCCATAATACCGACAAACAGACCGGCACCAGCTGGCAGAGAAGGTGGGGGAGGCTGGGCTGAGGGACCAGCATTTTGGGAGCCATGCGGTGCAACATGGGCACCACCGCGCGCATCCAATTCTCGATTAAGTCGGGCGATTTCGTCCTCGTACCTTATAACACGATGTATCAGCCACGAATCCCATCCGGGCGAGTTTTACGTATCCCCGAAAACAATTCAAGCTAACAAACAATCGTGGCATAATCTCACTTTTGTTTCATGGTACCATGAGCTGCCTCTAATTGGAAAACACTCTGTCTGACCAGATCCATCTCTTGAATCTGCTGTTGAACTAAAGCGATGTCAGCAAACATATCAATCAGGTTGAAGCACTCGCATCGCTACCATGGCCCAACGCTAAATCTAGGCACCAATGGATGATATAAGGGGAAACGTACTCTTGTGCTCATAGTCGCTAGACCTAGATTGCTGATCCGCAAACTCCTGCCGGACCTGCTCCAAAAGTTCAGTCAAGCGACCGTTTTGGGCAGGCACCATCCCGCGATGTGATGTGTACATTGTGGACATTCAGCGGGGGCCGTTAAAAGTCGTCTGAAAAGGCGATTCGAGGTCGATGCCGATGTTTGGGCAAATCGCGATAAGCAGGGTCCAAAAGTGTGGCCGTCAAATATTTGCGGGGAAAGAACCCAGGGATGCCGATGAAACACGATCCTGCAACCGCCACCAAAACACGCGACTGCCAGCGGAATGCGCAGAGAGAGGCGCGACAGTGTCCGATCCCGTAAACACTTGGCAGGAGAAAAATTGGGAGCGAGAAATCAGAAGGCTAACGACTATGGAATGATTGAATCGAGAATTGGGGCAACAACAGTCAGGAACAACGATGAGGATGGCGGTGGTGGTGAGGATGAAGGTTGGACGATTGGATAGACGATGAGCAGAAACTGTTGGGATAAAACAGGTGTGTAAGTAAGTGCCGTGTTGTACTATACAAAAGATGAAAGTAGAAGGTTCGCCGTGGTAGCAAAAGTTTTCCATGATGATGATGAAAAGAAAAGAAAAAAACGAGACAAGGTGTGAGGGGAGGAGGGGTGTGGTAGAGGGGGTATGCTCAGCGGAGCGGGAGACTCACCAGGGGCGGCTGTGGGTAGACGTGCGTAATGATGGACGTGTTTTTTTTTTCTTTCTGTCAGCGTGTGCTGGGAGTTGCTTTGTGAAGCCAGAAGAGAGGGAAAAGGAGGAGGAAGTGGCGGGATGGAGAGGGAAGGGGGGGGGGGGGGGGCAAGAAGGGAGGAAGGAAGTCAAAGATGGAAAAGGCAAATATAGAGAGAACCGGGGGGATAAGGGATGCCAAAAGCAGTTCCTCCGTTCAAGGAAGGACAGTTGGTTGAGGTGGTGATGAAGAAGGGTAGAGAACGGGAGGAGGAGTGAGAGAGAGAGGGGGGAGAAGAAAGGGTGAGGAGGAGGAGGAGGAGGAGCGACGGACGGGGGTTAATGAGACACAGGAACGATACCTTGCCTGTGCTATGCTTGCAATGTACGAGTGCTCTAGGGTAACAGGGCTGTTCTTCTATGGACCGCTAAATGCTTTTCGCAACGACCCGGAAGACAATGTGGGTGAGGGTGTGGGAGCATTGAGGGTGGGGAGGTGCATAGCTCCGCTAAGGGTTAGGTTTCGCCGCTAGTACCACGCTTGGCGGAAACAAAATGGGGGCCACCTTGGCAGCCTTGGCAGCCGTGGCGCCTTGATGTCGACAGCCTACTTGGAGACTGGAGTGTAAAAGCGAAGAGGAGGAAAAGACTCCCCTGTGCTCCACTCGAAAAATCTAATGGTTACGGCAACAACAGTGAACAATGACGCAGAAGGAGAGAGGCCCTACCCCGGGAAGGGAGAGAACATTATGGCAGGAAAAAGAAAGATCATATCTTGGACGGTATTGTAGCATATATCATACCAATGTGCGGTTCCCAGACCCTGATAACACCCCTGCCCCATCTTTGCCAAACCTACCTTACCGTACCGCTTCGCACTGTCCATACGCTCCCGCATGTCCCACAGAAACCCACCGCCGTCACACTTATAGTGCCCGAGTCCAGCTCCTCCCCTCCTCCTCCTCCTCCTCCTCCTCCTCCTCCTCCTAATACTCGGGCACTGCTTGTCTGCGCCAGCGGTGCAGGCCGCTGCAGGCGCGTCAGTTACATAGGATGCCCATTGCCCAGCGAGCGAGTGCCGGTACGGTAGTCCATACGCCAGTTTCCCCCGCATCACGGTGGATAGCAAGATACCGGTACCACACCCATTCCCCTGTGCTGTGGAAAAGAGCCGCCAACCCTCAGCTACCGCACAAGTACCGTACTCTACCAATCCTCCCACCACTGGTCCTACACCGCGCTCGCACCCCAGGCTTTCCACCTTGTGTATGATACCGGTATTGGTGCAACGACAGCTCTCACGAACTTGCCCACCCGTTTCCATTGATCAAAACTCCTTTCTTTCTTTCTTTTCTTTTTTTTCCCTTCCTTCTTTCCACCCTGCTCTCCACTACCAACCCCGCGTTGCATGATACGGTGTGATAGCGGTAAGAGTACACTCGAGTACCGCTATCATTGTGCACGAATAACCCGCTCTGTTTCAGGCGGGCTTGAGTCAAGGATGAATCTCCCGGCAACAGCGGCCAACGCCTCCATAACACCGTGATCCATTCGGCCAACGCAGTTGCAAGTTCTTCAGGGCAAGGATGCCCAGATACGATGTTTACCCGCCACCCGTTTTGCAATGCAGATGCGCGGCGTCCAAACCAGCATGACATTTGGCTCTGTCGGTACATTCTCCGTCACCTCACCAGCCACAGCCAACCACACACCCCTGCTGGGTTCCTTAGATAACACCGCGGGCAATTCCCAATTTGCAGAAGGTGAGAAAAAAGTAAACAAGGAGGGAAGGAAGGGAAAAAGAAAGCAGAAAGGAAGAAAAAAGAAAAACAAGAAGAAAAAAGGAAAAAAAAAACAAATCATGATACCGGTGCTGTAAACCCCAGAAACTCACACTCGCGACCGCCAACTGACAAGACGACACCGTCCACCATCGTCCCTCTCCCGCCAATCGTGCCGAAGCCAAATCAAAAGCCAACCAACAGTCATGAGGAAACACGCTTTTTCTGATACAGATCGGCAAGAATGGAGAAACAGATGAAATATGACTGATAGAAGATTGTTATTGTTATTATTATTATTATAATCATTACCGGTATTATTGTTATAACTTGTGTTACCGGTTCTGCTGTCCTTCCGGCGAAATAAGATGGAAGCAAAGCGAGGCTTCCTACCACCGACTTTCCACAATTGCTTTGTGCGTCGGTGTGTTGGCTTGTCTTGCATTCTTTTTCCCCAGGACAAACGGCCACCGGTGCGCCAAAACAAAGGATATGGTGGTCCGTACCTCACGATCGCGAACCGCCACTTGCGGTTTAAATAGGAATACCCTTCTGCCCTTCTCAATCACGGTTACGGACATCCGACATTACCTGCTACCGCCTACCGCCTACCGCCATCTCCTCCACTCCCTCCCTCCCTGCTCATCTGCGGCTACACGAACCATATAAATTTCTCAACCTGAATGTGGAAGGTTGCGTTCAGGCTGCACGGCTGCCCATGTTCAAGATCGCGGGCCGGAATGTCCTCGCTCCTCACCCTCACTCGATAAGTCGACTGAAAAGCGAAGACGAGGATTTCCATTTCGGGCCACTTGAATCCATTTGTGCAGCATCGTAATACGCAGCCCGGCAACTGGGCTTCTACGCCTGGCGTATCCCACCATACCACATACTTCCGTGCGCTGGTGGAATATCATGCTGGAAGAATACGCCGGTAGTCGTAGCGACCCAAAAATCGGCACAAAACCCATAACAACCGATCAATTCTCCCTCAACTCCTTCCTTTTATGCATGCACCACAGCCGCCGAGAGAGCACCAATGTAAGCCGCGAGTCCCATGATCCACAACTCCATACGAAGCAAAGTCCTCGGCCCCCCTTTCCCACCTCCATGAGTGGGCTGCGGAAGGCGAGCATTCGGGCATGCAGGTCGACGCGGATGTTAAAGCTTGGCGCAATTTGAGCCTCCACCTGGTCCCGTTCGTCCAGTCCACAGTTCCGCCATCTTAGCCCTCGATGATTTCTGCTAGCAAGGACAAGTGGGGAAGAAAGAGGGGAGTAAGTGGTGTGTGGGGGGGTGACATGAGCCGGAAAAACCCTGGGCTGTGCCATTCTAAGCGAACAAAGAGGTGTGAAGGGGTGCGATTGACTGGCTTGCTCCTGGAATTTTCTGGGGGGGGGGGGTAGGGGAAGCCGTTAACGAATGACCATGTTTGGGTATTAATTTCGAGCTTTGGTCAACCGGCCGTGGTGTTTACAGTGGGGTCCGCAGAGCCCAAAAAATGTGGTGTGTTGGGGGGACTCCCGAAACCCGACCAAAAAGAGGGGTCTGTTGCCGTCCAGTAGTGCACAAACAAAGCTGTGCTAGTACCATACAGTACCCAGCAGGAGGGAAGTGATAGGGGAAGAAAAAAAAAGAGAGAAGAAAAAGGAAACAGAGGAAAATAGGAAACCAGTATCATAGCTTGCTTATCCCACGTTTGTTCCTGATAGCGAACCGGGCTGGGGAATCGCAATCATATTGCGGCTGACCCGCGAGTTAAATTCTGTTGATTGAGGCAAGAAGTAGAATATCGAGTGATAATGCATGAGTTTTCCACGGAACGGTCTTTGGGGAAGACACCGTACGATTACTTGAACCATACCGCTCCTGTTGCTGCACATACGCCCTTCACTTGGGTTCGGCTGCTGACTGGGCACCCACCGTACCATCCGTACTATTGCAGCGAAATGTTATTCCAGATCTTGACGGGGTCCACGTACCGTACCGGTACTTGTGCCATAATCTGATGAATCATGTTATCGTACTTGGGGGTTTATCATGTGGTGGTGTGGCCACAACGTCGGGGTAAATTAAATTCGCTTGGCGACCCCTAAACCCGTCCATCACTTAATCCACCTGAAAAGTCCTACCTCATCACAACCATGGACGGAAAGAATGCCAACCCCACCATTCTTAATGCCTCTGACCTGCCGACACGGCGGCAGGTGCAGCGGAAAAGAGTAACCTCTCCTTTGACGTCCGGTCTGGTCCCGGCGTACGCACAGGATCCTTTCGTGGGCAGCAGGGATACCGAGTTTTCCAACTCGGATGAAAGCGAGGATGATTCTGTCCTTGAGCCTATCGACGAGCAGGAGATTTACGGTGAGCTCAAGCAGCATCTTGGTGTTAGACCAGAAGGAAAATAAGAGCGTGTTACTGAGTCATCGTTCAGATCTCATCGCGACCATCTCGGACCCAGAGCATCCATTGACCCTCGGAGAGCTCGCCGTCGTCAATCTCCAGCATATCAAAGTCACCGATGATCCGTCGGCCATTATTTCCAATGTCCTTGTCGAGCTTACTCCCACAATCAACCATTGTTCACTCGCCACTGTAATTGGCTTGGGTGTCCGGGTACGGCTGGAACAAGCGCTTCCGCCACGATTCAGACTTGATGTTAGGATCAGGGAGGGAACCCATGCAACCGGGGAACAGGTCAACAAGCAGCTAAATGACAAGGAACGGGTGGCCTCAGCACTGGAGAATGAGACTTTGATGGGAGTTGTGGGGAAGATGCTTGAAACCTGCAGGTGATGGAAGGAGGGAAACCCTTCACTTGGGGGAGGGCTCGAGATGTGACTTTTTTTGTATCATAGCTAGCGGAATCTTTTGTTCCCTGTCGCTGTGTTTGCTTTGATGGAATCGGGGAAAAAAAGGAAAAAAAAGTAGTTGGAATTCACATTCGTCGGATACCGATAGTGTAAATGTTGGAGCCGCAAGTTTTTTACGCTTGCTCTACGATGCATGTACTTGTACTCGAGTGCAATATAAGGGGCTCGTACAAGATGGCCGAGGTACAGTATCATACGCCGTAAAGCACTGTAATGTCATACAAAGACGCATTTTATGGTGTTGCTTACATTAAGTCATCATTGATCCAGAATCGCTTCTTGGCAATCAACGGCTTGGTGCATCCGTGCGCAAGGAGGATAGGGCTCTGCATCTGGTAGCTTGCAACCCAAAACGCGTCTCCGGGCCCATCAGCTATCATTGCAAACTTCAATCATCCACCCCAACAGAGTAGTTTCAGTTCGTCTCACCCCGCCCCACCATATCTCGACAGAGTGAGAAGACACTTTTGACCATGGGGAATACATACGAAATTTCTGACTCTGACAGCGACGGGCAAGGAGATGAGGAACGTCAAATCGCCGAAGCTATCCGGCTCTCATTGCTTGAATCCTCAGGCCCTCCCGCGCAGGGGGGGTCGTCGGGCTCCGTGAGTCCTCGGCGAAGGGCCAAAAAGCGCAAGGTGGACGTTATTGAAATCATATCTGATGACGACGAGGGAGATGACGGTATCCTGGACGGCATCAATGCTACAAGAAAGGCGCCAAAGGCGAGTAACAATTCCTCTGCGAGAGCTCGTGCGGTTGGCATCCCTGGTGTGACCGGCCCAGCGATGGTATCAAAGCCGGCTGACGGACTCCTGCGAATGATCGGAAATAGAGCACAGATGGAGAGAGAACGTTTGGCAAGACTGGCTGAATTGAAGAGATCACCTCCGGAGTTCGGGTTGCCTTTAAACAGTGCCGCTCCCGAGACCCTGAAACCTGCCAGGGCTGGACTGAGCCATTTTTCTGGCGGGGGCTCTACTCAGAGGAAGGCTTCCTCGTTCGAGCCGTCCAAGTTTTCTGCGGACAACGAGAAGCGGATACACGCTCATGGTAGCCGTCAGTCTTGGAATGATGGGGATTCAACTGGTGCTACTCCAATCCTTCGATATCCAAATGGCGCTATCAAAAAGACGTGGGCTGATGGATATCCTAAAACGGATACCGAGATCACGTTTGAGGAGGTTCTTCAAAAGGTTTGTTGGCTCCCCGAACGCGGGGGAACGTCGCTAAATAGTGGCTAGGACTCTCTTTGTGTGGCTGTTCTCTCGGCTTTTCAGTGGGATACCGATTGGGTCCTCAAGAAGCTCCCCTTAGACACAATCCAAAGGCTTGTGATGGTTATGCATGCCAAGGAGGAACAGGACCGGAGCTACAAAGCTCAGCAACTTGGTGATTTGCCAAGGACAACGCTAGTCCTCCCACCAATGCAAGGACAGGTAAGTTGTATGCATAGCAAACTCATGCTATTGTTCCATATGAGTGGCTGCCAAAGATGGTTAAGAGTTGCTATTCCGAGTGCAAATCTTACGGACTACGACTGGGGGGAGCTGGGCGGTGTCATGGAAAATGTATTCCCAATTCGTACCCAGAGTTGTCCCGACATTGCTTATTTACTCCCGGGATAGACAGTTTTTCTTATAGACCTCCCCCGGCTCCCAAAACCGGACCATGACCAAACCCATTTTGCAAAAGAGCTACACCATTTCTGTACCGCCAAAGGGTTGCCCGAAGATGTTTTAAACGGTCTCTATCAATATGATTTCAGTAAGACGAAAGACATGGCCTTTGTTCATTCGATAGGCGGAAGCAATACAGGCAAGGACTGGCACCGTACTGGGTATTCTGGGTTAGGCACTGCTGTGAAGGCACTAGGACTCTCGTCCGGTCCCGGTTTGGAATTTGATTTTGTGGTAAGAATGCGGGATTACCGTGCGGTGAATTGGGCTCATGGGGTTAGACTTCCTCTCTAGGTGCTGCGAATATGGGGTTTATATCCAACATGTATCGGGCGGCGATGGGCGATAATGGTCTGAAAGAGTTGCAGCGTTGCTCAAATAAGCCCACCAAGGGTGCTAAGAAGAAGAAGAAGAAGAAGAAGAGCGTACTGGTTGTGGATGATGAAATCACGGACGATGATTCGGGAACTGAGTTTGACGAAGAGACCAACCTGGAACGGATCATGAATCACGTCCGTATTTATTTTCCGTCCTACGAGACTGTTCGCCTTAGCAAGAAAGGGTTTAGCTCTGGGGGAACAATTTGCTTTAATTCCTCTTGGTGGGATTACCCAACATTTCCACGGTCGCTGATGAGAGATTGCGTTAGTACTCGGGATGGGTTGTTGATGCATAATAAGGTAAGTAACTTTCTTCCACTGCATGGGAAACAAAAGCTTACTGGAGTTCTCTTTGTAGGTACTGTTTGCCCGTCCCTCGAGACAACTCCAGGCTTCCTGCGGGAGGGTCGATGCTTGGGCTTATGTGGGTTCTGCCAACCTGAGCGAGAGTGCATGGTAGTTTGCTCCATACTCCTCCTTAAACTTGCGATTGTGTTGACTTTCTCAAAAGGGGGAAGCTGGTCATGGATAGGACCACAAAAACACCCAAGATGAATTGCAAGAACTGGGAATGCGGTGTGCTGTTTCCTGTGGCCGCAAAGGATACTGGTCGAACTCTTAGCGGGACATCGCCTGTGGAGTCAAAACGCAAGGTGGCTGTTGGCATGGACGTGTTTGGAAAGACGATTCCGGTTCCAATGAAGGTACCTGCCGAGCCCATGGAAGGCAAGCGCCCGTGGTTTTTCCGTGAACTACGATGATCGTTTCACGGGGAAAACCTTATTCTTAAGTTTGGGATCGATAGCCTTGTTGGTGTATGTTCGTTTTTACATCGATGTAGACTGCTAGCTCCATAGATTTGCTATCCTAATAGTCAAATTTTTTTTCCTAGGGCAAGGGTGCCGGGGGGGGGGGGTTTCGGGGTCAAATTGTGGCCGTCTCGCTTGGTCTACTTTAGAGTAGTTAAGATTGAAACCATCAGATAATTAGGGAGATTACGGAGGCTTAGTGCGCTATTCGGGTAGCTCGCTAAAAAGCTTGTGCTGTCTTGGCGGGGCTAACTTCGCGCGAATCAGCCTCCTATCACGACGCCAAACCACCTCATACGGAGACGGAGAGTAATGGATACTTGCCAAACATCACACAACCCTGAAAGCCCGACTCAACCTTCTCCTACGTCTTCGAACCCATACGCTCGTACCTACCTCCCTGCGTCTTCCGAGCCCCCTTCGTCCTCAAAGCCCGCCTTGCAAACGGTATGGTTGGTAAGCAATTCCACCCCAGTTTATGGGGCCATTCTGTTCAATTGGCTGACTGCATTCGGGCGGCGTGTCTCTACAGATATTTGGAGCAACTGGGCATCTAGGCAGATCTATCTGCCGTGTCGCCCTAGCAAGGGGTGATTGTGTCACTGCTGTCGGGAGAAACCTCCCTGGTGAGGAGGTAGTCATGCAGGGCTGGCATCAAATGTGTCAAGGGCTGGTTTGTGATGTCAGAGTTCGGGATACGGTATCAAAGGTGTTTGGTAGCGCCTTGGAACATTGGGGGAGGGTTGATGTCGTGGTTAAGTAAGTTATTTGATAATTATTATATATTAATGTTGAGATGGGAGAAAATTTAATGTTTTCTTGAGCGGGTTTTCTCGTCTCTCTCTCTCTCTCCCTCTCACTCTTTTTCTTTTCCTTTTACCGAGTCTCCCGCTAATTCGTGTGATATTATGACAGCTGTACCGGGTATGGTATGTACGTGGTTTCCCATGACCTGGCATCTCTCGACTAACTGCGTTTAACGTGATCAAAGGCATCATCGGCGCCTGTGAGGATCAGGACGAACATGAGATCCGTGCACAGTTTGAGACGAACCTGATCGGCGCAGCAAACATATTCCAACTGACGTTGCCGTACTTTCGCGAGCGGGGATCGGGGATGTATATCGTGTTTAGTTCCACCGCGGGTACACTTGGGACACCGGGCCTAGGGCGTATATACCCCCTGCCCTCTTAACCGCCAAATAATTTTTAGCAGTTCTAACAGAGCGAACAGCCTACTGTGCTACCAAGTGGGCTGTGGAAGGCCTCGCCGAGTCATTAATGTACGAAGTTGAGCCTTTAGGAATCAAGGTAACAATAGTCGTGCCTGGCCTATCTAGACGAGACGAGTTAGGTCCCACCCTACCTCACCCTAACACATCAACCACCATCTCACATCTCACCTGCTCCTGGGCTAACCAGGGCCTTGATCCCTTTTGACGAACCAGACCGGACGAGAACCTCAACGGCCCAGCGCCAATGTGGGGGCACTTTCTGCTCAAGCCACCAGCAGACGCATATAGAGCCACCAACTCACCGGCGCAACACGCAACCCGCATGATAGATTGGCTCAAGTACAAGGAGCCTACAAGCGCCATTCGAATCGCAGAAATAACTTGGGAGGTAGAGTATTAATTTCTCATCTCTCACCACCGCCATCACCGCATACGTTTCACATATTACCTACATATCTGTTGTACACTGTAACGGCACTGCCCACGCACCCGCACATCGCACACTGCACATAGTAGCCCGTCACCATCATAGAACGGAGAAACCCGGGGAAGGGTAAGTAAAAGAAAAAGAAAAGGAGGGGAAAGGGAACAGGAGTGTCAGCAGTAGCCTGCCCTTCACTTCTTCCATACTAAATGTGTGGGTGAGTGGATAGGTAAGAGATAAATAATCTCTGCTCCCTGGCTATAGTTGGGTGTCCGGATACCGCCGTAAACACAATAATCCCCAGCTCCAGAGTAAGATAGAACAATCTACCTGTAGCCACCGTCGTGTTTCACCGTCGTTCGCCCTCCGACCCCCCCCCCCTCCCCTTTACACTCAGAAATCACAAGGCTTCGATAACCCTTCTAGAAGGGGGTAAAAGGGGTTTCCATGCTCTCGCATATTTATGCGTCTGACATGCATTGCATATCAATCCACTTTGTTCCGCTCTGTTTGAATGCCGTAAGGTGCGAGTTAGCGCACGGCACTGTAAGCGACGAAGACGACGACGACCATACAAACAAAAAAGCCAAAAGCAAAATAAAGCCAAAATTAACCCACTACTCACTTCACTCGTTCACTCACTCACTCACTACACCCACCACCCTCTTCCCCCCATACACTCTCGACCCTCTCTCTCCATGCAGTGCTGGAACGAGTAGCAATAATTATTAACATTTTGCAAAAAATTCCATTTCCAGCTCGGCCACTCCACGCACCCCCCCCTCCGCCTATTCCTGGGCGGTCACGCGGTCGAGGCTATCCGCGATCGTTTACGCAGCACAATCGAAGAGGTGAGCCTCTCCCTAGTTTACTTTTTTGATGCGTCCTGGTGGTGGTGGTGGGAAGAGCTATTTTTAGCGGGTATGGGGATCTCGGATATGCTGACACGGGTGACTTGAACGTATGGTACATAGATTGAGGACTGGAAGCATCTGAATTTCAAAGGTGAGGATGAGGGGGGTGGTTTCTTGCGGTAGTGACGGAATGAATGAATGAATGGGGTTTATTTGTGTTTGTGGTCCTGATGCGTATCATGGTGTCGGTAGTTGCTTTTTTTTCTTTCTTGTTTTTTTGTCAATTGGTGTGCGCTTGCTGTTGTACAGAGTCTTTTGAATTTACAAGTACTCGCTTGTGGAGTAAAAAAGTGCTGTACCGTACTGGTCGGCGCAACGCGCCGGGATGCGAGATAATTGGTTAGAGCCGTAGGGGGTGGGGGAATATGGTACGGTAGGAAGAGAAAGAAAAAACAAGAAAAAAGAAAGTAATTGCTATTACCGTATCGTATGATGAACCGTATGAGTAGAGTCACAGGTGTTTTTTTTTTCTTTTCTCTACCTCTCACGCACACAATTAATTGGAATTGACCACTGTACAGAAATGCGAGCACTACCAGCACAGTACTAGTACAGTACCAGTATCATACCTGTACGAGTAGAGTTCGCATGGATGGTACGGTATGGTAGGGCTTTCCCGCTCCCGCTGCTCCCCCCCTCTCGCACCCACCCACTCGTACTATTATCGCTCTGTACTCGAGTACATGAGCCCTTGTAGTTTATTGTCCGGGCTTGAGGTGCGGGTATATACGAGTGCCGTAGCGTACCGTAACGTACCGGTACAAGGACAAGTACAAGTACAGTAAAGTACCGTACAGTGAGTGCTATACTACATTATCCTATGTCCATTACAACCACAGTTGAAGAAAAAAACATGCCTTCTTTTCTGTCAAGACCTCCTGTCATTGGCTGAAACACTTGTCTCACTGCTTTGCCTCTTTACCTCTCAGTTAGAGGTCCCTCCCTCAACCATAGATTTTGGAGCCTTAGACTTCAAGGTTAATGAGTCTGGGAATACTACTGGCCTGCCTTCTTCCTCTTTAGGGAAAGAGAAGAAAGGCCCTCAGACTACACCTTTCTCCAAGCCCACTGGGTCTGCCCCCCTCCTCCTGCCATCCCTTGCTGACCAGCACTAAGGTGGCAGAGTAGTCCTCCTATTTTCTGCCCCTCAGGCTCCTCCTACATAGAAGAGACCACATCTTGAAAGTGATGCTACTACTACTCTTTCTTCTATCTCTCAGGAGGTCCTAGAGGATACCTTCTCAGGTGCCCCCTATTTTCTGGACTTCTTTGTTAAGATTGTATTAGAAATGGGCCTTACTAGTACATTTTCCCTTACTAACACCTGGCTCATTATCTTCAGAAGGAGGCAGCTAATATATGATAACTATAAGATAGCAGTTGATAAAATCTCTGAGAATATCACTGCTTTTACTGAGGAGCTTGAGGCCACCTATCTCTGCCCTTTCCCTTCTCAGCCTACTCCTACTACTGCCATACCAGTCTTCCATAATTCTTTTACTTTACAGTTTCTCTCTAAGTTAGCCCCACCCCTCATAGCTCCTACTACTACTGCTACTACCTCTGTTGGTACCTCTACTAGGCTAACAGTAGCTAAGAAGATGAAAAAGTCAGTCTTCAAACACTTGAGGACTCTCCTTCAGGCCTTCAAGACTTCCTTTTATCTATAGTTCTGTCTATCAAAAAGGGCCTTACTATGCCAGAGTATTATCTTCTTATTAAGAGGAATATCTCTCTTCTCATCTTTGTAGCTAATCAACTGTAAAATAGTATCAACTAGGCTCTGATCTCCACCCTTGTACAGTCTATCTCTTTAGTAGGTAGATTTATTATTATTATTATTACTATGGACTTAAAGTATTAGGACAAAAGGGATTATCCAATGTCCTTTTTACACCAAAAGTACCTGTCTTCACCACCCTCTCTCACCACACAATGTCTATAAGAACCTGTTTAAAGTTTTCTATGTATTAGGAAACTTGTAGATAATATGAAAAATATCACAGAATCCTTAAATATTATAAAGTGATGGAGAAAAGATTGTTTAAGTTTCTGGTATTGGTTCTCATATACTTCTTTGTATAGAGCTCCATATAAAAATTTATGTCACTTTTATACTGGTTGATGCAATTATGAACAATGAAGACAGCTTTGATTCCTTATACTTTTTCTTGTAGAATTTGGAATAGATGGTTATTTCCTAGCTGATAAAATGATTTGAAGTACTTTCATATAAGCGGTTCTGAGAATTATCAGTTTAAAAATGTCTATTTTTCATGTTAAAAGAGCATTGAACAATCCCTTTATTGCGCTGTAGTTAGGGTAATAATGCTTAATAGCAGGGTTGGTCTTATCCTCCATCTAATCTCAGGTACCTCTACCATTCATCTTGATACTTCTGACACCAAACTTCTGGTTCATAGTATTCCTACTTCCTCTTGCCTGGTCTTTATTACTACTAAGCTTATAATATTTAACTCTAGTCTTATACTGAGTGGGCAGTCCAGATAACTTATCTTTAATAATATACTAGTATATAATAGCAAGTTTGACAATATTATTGCTACTACTATCTCTATTACTTGACCTAAGACATCTTCTTTTACAGACAAATACCTTACAAACTTTTCTAACTACTATCATACTAAGTGTCTCCTCTGCTACAACTACTATACATAATGTTCTATCTGCTGCAGCTATGAATATTATATTAAAAAATATGTTAGTTTATATTATACTTATAAATACACAGACATCTCGCATGCACAGACCTCTTGAAAAATGCGAAAATTCTATAGCCAATACTCTTCTCTGGCCTTACTATTGTACCTGCATGTTATAATACCATTGCTGGACTTTTGTATCTTGTTACTATAAACTGGTGAAAATAAAGCATAATCTATAATACTATATATGTCTTTGCTGTCTGTGTGATAGGAGGCCACCTACAGAATATATCAGAGGAGACTTTAGACCATATCTGAAAAGTAGAATAGAGTTAATTGGGCCCGTAACTATGGAGCTAGAGGCTAATAAGTAAGGTTGACCATCTCTAACATAGTCAAAAGGTGAGAGGACAACATTAACAACAGTCCAATAAGTTATTAGAATGTACCTATAATAATAAGGGACATGACTTAGTCAATTACAAATACAGAATTGAGCTAACTCAAGGTTTATTTATAGAATGACTCTACAATGATAAGCTATGATGACCTAAGTCTATACTCATACATGTGGCTATGAGGTTAAGTAATGGACTAGGTAGACATGGTGGAGCATGTTTCTGAAGATGCATGATAGTTGGAGTATCTCTACAAGTATTAGGTACTTAAGGAATAGATGTATTTAAATAGTAGTAATGTGACTATCTATATACAGGTCTAAGGATAGGTTGAAAGGCAGGGTAAAGGTATTCTGTAATAGGAAGTCATGTTACCCTACCATGAGAACAGTTTTCATATTACTGTAGATATTATTATCCTATATTTAGGACACTATTAGTGTCTGTTTGGATATGAGCATTTGCGCCTGTTCAGTTCTATTCCTTATACAAATTTTCTTACCCTTCCGTTTCATAACTGTCGTTTTGTATGAGAAAACTGAACAGTCTCAAATGGTTCCGTTCCCGCCAAACAGAGCCTTATCCTACTTTTTATCGGAAATATTCTTAGAGGAATGATAGAAATGTTAGGATTGTTTGTTATATAATAATAGAGGAGGTACTTGTTTGCATGTTAATTGGAGGGCTATGGGAGGAGCTACAGGTCTCCGAACATGCTTTAACTTAGTAGAAATATTCATAGTAGGCCCCTGTAGCCCCTGAGTTTGTCCTAGATACCATAGGCTAAAATGGGTAGAGTTACTATCTTTCTTGTTAAGTAGAGTTAATAATAACATGTCTATAATATTGTATAAGTCAATGCCATCCACCTGACTAGAAGCTGCTTGCGAAATATATAAGGGGGGTAAGATGAACAGGTCAAGTACCTTCTCTAAGTTGAATGGAATAAGAAAGATCAAAACAGATAGAGTTGTATGAGCTACCTGGAGGAGTCCTATTGGTAGTTGCTAGATAGTACTAGGACAACTTGAAAGATTTTACATTAATTAAGCCCACATTTGTACCTTTGCTGTAGGTGTAACCAGAGCTGGTACTCGGTTAGTATGTTTTATATTTTATGTTTTAAGTATTGGTTGATACTTAGTTTGTTTTATGTTTTGTTTTAAGTATCAGTTGATACTTAGTTGGTTTTATATTTTATGTTTCAAGTATTGGTTAATACTTAGTTTGTTTTATGTTTTGTTTTAAGGATTGGTTGATACTTGGTTATTTTTATGTTTTGATTGAGTAAGAACATGAGTGAGGATTCATGATCGGACTTAAGGACATGTACTTAAAGACTGCTGTTTTCTACTATAAAAACAGCAGACTTCGATAAACAGTATTCCAACATACTCTGTTGAATGGTTATCTTCATTTTTCTATTACACCACCGAAGCCTCCCTTAGTGAGCCTAGAGTCATTATTTTCTGGTAGATTAGCGCTCTACTTCTATTGTACTCAACAGTGCAACTAGCGCCACAGCATGAATACGTTACAGTAGGCTTATTAAAGGATATTTGAGGACTCTGAAAGTATGATTCTTATCATAGTAGAAGTATGCTAGAGGTAAGGGACCATGGGTAGTATCTGCAGGTCCCCCCACTGATGATACTTAATAAGAGAGAACTATAGCCCTTTTGTAGTTTGCAATTAAGATAGATAGAACTTTACTGAAGAGAGTAGATATTTATATGAGTTTATATAGATAATAGCACATAGGTAGAAAGTTAATTAGTTAGCCCTCTTGTATGGCTTGATAGTAGGCCACTGGTAAGACACTGATATATAAAGGTTTTCTCTTAAGGGAGCATATTGGTAGTATCTTACAGAAACTGATGTACATATGGGAGACCGCAGCTAGTGCATGCTGACATCTTAAGCCCTTCAGGGATATGGTAATAGTACTAGGCAACTCTTGGTAGAGAAGGATAAACTCACATTGGTTAGGGTAACCTGATAGGAGTGTTTTTAGTATAAATCTGACTTCTTAAAGATTATATAAGAACTCTCCTATCCCAACAAAATCAACATCCTCTTAATATCTTAATTGAGTGAAACTTCAGCTTCACAATATTAAGTCTTACTATTTACTTTATTTCTTATATTAGTAAGAGCTGTGTATATAAGGTTTTGAAATTTGGTATAGTCACATTCTTAGGATCCATCTTCCTAGAGAAGCTGCTATTACAATTTATGGTGGAGAGACTTTCTTACAATATTGACTAGTGCGATCATAAAAGGAAAGTTCTTAGAGTTAATGTTATCAAGTTACTAAGTTAATAATATATTGATAAATCTATTGATATAGTTGATTATCCTTGTCTAAGAAACGAGGATGGTAAGTAGGCTTAAGTATAAGGTCCTTACCTAATTAGAGCATCTAAGAGAAAGTAATTGTAAACTTTTCCTAAAGAGGCTTGAAAAGCTCTTATAGAAAACCTAATAGTTTATAGCAACTATGGTTTGAGCAAGACCAAAAAGTTTTCTAGATTAGAAAGATTCCTATTATGCGGATGGGGGGTAAAAATAAAAGAAAGTTTATTGTTTAGTATTAGATAGATATAGCTTGTAACTGCTCAGATATGAAATATAAATATCTACGTAGCTCTTTAGCTTTCAGAACATCCTCCATCTCCGCTACACCTCTGGCGATTAAAAACTCAACACCATGGTTACTA